CAAAAAAAAGCCCCGCCAGTTTCTGAACCGGCGGGGCTTTTTCATATCCGGATCCTATCCGGTAAAACTTCGCACCAGACTTCCCGCCACCAGTGACCATCCGTCAACGACCACGAAAAAGATCAGCTTGAACGGAAGCGACACGGTACTCGGCGGCAGCATCATCATGCCAAGGCTCATCAACACGCTGGACACCACCAGATCGATGACCAGAAACGGCAGATAAAGTAGAAATCCCATCTCAAAACCGCGCCGCAACTCTCCGATCATGAACGCCGGCACCAGCACACGCCAGGGCGTATCGCCGATCTTCGCAGGCGGCTTCTCATGCGCAATATTGAGGAACGTCGCCACATCCGCAGGCCGTGCCGTCACCGCCATAAAGTCATGAAACGGCTGGGCCGCCGCCGTCAGTCCCTCCATTTCCCCAACACGCCCCGCCATCATCGGCTCGATCCCCGCATCCCCAACACGAACTTCTTGAGCGTCGGCTGCAAATCACGAACAGTTCAGAAACGCGACAGCGCCGATCAAAACCGTATTGGGCCGGCGTCCCCTGCGAAGCCAAGCGCACTGCGCAACAGCGACAGAACCGATCACGATCCGCCGTAAACGCCGTAATCATCACCAGCAGGCTCGGCGCCAGAGAGAGAACCGTAATCAGCGCCGTAAGCTGCACCAGACGACTGGTCGTCCCAGCCCCCCCCGTCGCTCCGTTCTGCCCCAGATCAATGCTCACGGACTGCGCATGCGCCAGCGACGGCACACACACGCACGTCAGCAGCATCACAAACGGCAAAAAGGCTCCAAACCGCATCAGAGCCTGCCTCACGCCACGTCCTCCACAGCGGAGTCATCCAGCGCCGAAGCAAACGTCTCCCGCTCCGTCCAGTCCATCAGGATGTCCTGATTGCCCCCCGTCAGAACCAGAACTTCCCGCGTGCCATACCGCACAACCGAAAGGCGCCGCGTCCGGTCAAGTGCCATCTGCCCCACAAGCGACAACCCAGCCTGCCCACCCCGCGCGCCATTTTTTTTCTGCTCCAGCAACCGCAACAGGGGCCGGCTACAGAAAATCAGCACAACAATAAAAATCAGCGCGGCAATCGCGTTCGCGCATTCATGCAGGGTCATAGGTCAGTCATCCTCATTCCCCGGCATGATGCCCAAGATCGGTTAATGACCGCTTAATTGAGGATAGATTTTACACAGGAGGCTGCCGACAACCCCAGAAATGGGCAGCCCATATCGGTCACCCGCTACCGAATCTGCGGCTCAGGCAACCATTTATTAAAGATTTCACGCCATCATGCCCATCGCCGGCATTTTCCCGGTTCCTGCATGACGGAGACTGTCGCGATGCGTAACATCGACTCAACAAGCGCAGGCGGCACCGACCTCTTTTCTCTGGGCCGTGACCGCATGAACTGGCTTCAGGCCCGTCAGCAGGTGCTGGCTGGCAACATCGCCAATTCCGACACACCGGACTATCAGGCCAAAGACGTCTCCCCGTTCGAAGCCGCTCTGGGCGAATTCGACATCACACCCACCGTCACGCAGCCCAATCATATCGGATACACCGCCTCTGGCGCGCACGTCATCGAAACGTCGTCGGAACAGTCTCTGGACGGAAACCAGATCTCCCTGGACCAACAGATGGAACAGGTCGCGGATGTAAATGACCAGCAGCACCTCGCTGTAAACGTCTATTCCAAATATCTGAGCATGTTCCAGACAGCGCTCGGCAAATAAAGGACGCTGACGGATGAACCTGTCCACCACCATCGGTATTTCCGCAAGCGGCATGGACGCACAGTCCCAGCGCCTGCGTATTGTTGCGAAAACCTCGCCAATCAGGATACAACCGGCTCCAGCCGGGCCGCTGATCCCTTATCGCGCAAAAACCACACCTTTTGCCGAACAGGTGACAAGAAGCGGTCCTCCAACCGTCGGCGTCCAGAAAATCGGTCAGGAACATGTCGGATTTGACACCCGTTACGACGCCGTCATCCCGCGCCGACGAGCGCGGCTACGTCAAGGTTTCCAACGTGGATTCCATGACCGAGATGATGGACATGCGCGAAGCCGAGCGCTCCTACGAAGCCAACCTGAACGCCCTGCAGAGCAGCCGGACCATGCTGTCCCGCACGCTCGACCTGCTGAAGTAACCCAAATGCTCACCTCCCTTTCCCACGCCCATAACGCCTACGCCGTCCAGAGCCTCCAGAGCCGCCTTGAGGGCGTGACGGACGATATTGCGGACGGCCTTCGCACTCCATCCACAACAGGCAGCAGCAGTTCGGGCACAGATTTTGGGTCCGTCCTCTCGCAGTCCGTCAACAGCGTGATCGACAGCGGCCATGATGCCGAAGCCAAGGCGGCGCAGGGCCTCACAGGCGGTGGCGACATGACCCAGATTGTCACCGCCATTTCAAACGCGCAGCTTGCCCTGCAGACCACGACCGTGATCCGCGACCGCATGGTGCAGGCGTATCAGGACGTGATGAAAATGACGATCTGACCATGCAGGCCATCGATCTGGGCGCCATTCTGGAGCAGACGTTCATCGTTGCTCTTAAACTGAGCGCCCCTGCCCTCCTGACCGCGCTTGGCGTCGGCCTTCTGGTCTCCCTCGTCCAGGCCGTGACGCAGCTCAACGAAGCCACATTGTCCTTTGTTCCAAAGGTTCTCGCCATCGGGGCCGTCATGGTGATGGCAGGGTCCTTCATGACCGCGACGCTCATCGGTTTTGCCCGACACCTCTTCGATCAGCTCATTCTCGTCGGCACGACCTGAGGCTGCCGCCTTTCAGACCCGGATTTGACTGACATGCGCGCACTCAAAGAAACCGTCCTGTGAACACGGGTCTTGCCAATACAGCAGCCCCTATAGCGCTTCAGGGTCTTGATCTCAGCGGTCCGGTTCTGAGCGTCTGGGCGCTCGCTTTCGTTCTGGTTCTTTCCCGCACCGGCGGAGTTGTCATGCTCATGCCCGGCATTGGCGAACAGTCCATGCCCATGATGATCCGTGCTGGATGCGCCATCACGCTGACGGTCCTGCTCCTTCCGCTCGTCGCCCCCTTGCTCATGCAGACACATCTGGACGCACTCGCGCCTGTCGCCCTGTGCGGCATGATCGCCGTCGAACTTTTCGCGGGGGTTCTGATCGGCTGGATGGCCCGACTGATCTGTATGGCCCTGCCAATTGCCGGTCAGATCATCGCGGTGTGCATGGGCATTTCCAGCGTCCTTCAGCCCGATCCGGATCTCGGGTCCGGCAGTTCCGCTCCTGCCCGTTTCCTCAACCTACTGGCGCCGCTCGTGCTGCTCGTGACGGGTGCTTATATCCTACCCATCCGCGCCATCCTCGGTAGCTATACCATTATTCCTCCCGGCGGTGCGCTCCTCCTGACCAACACACATGCGCACTGGAACCTGCTGGGCGATTCCGCACAGGGCGTCATCCAGCTCACGGAACACAGCTTCGCTCTGGGGCTGGAACTCAGCGCCCCTTTCCTGATCCTGTCCCTTGTCTGGCAAGGCATGCTGGGCATCATGACGCGCCTTCTCCCGACGCTACAGATCTACAACGCCGCCAGTCCCCTGCAACTTCTGGGCGGCATCGCCCTTCTCGGCCTCACTCTCAGCACCAAGTGAATCGCCATCTGAGCAAGGACAGGCCTTCGACGTCCTACGGGCCCTTCGGGCCTCTGAACGATGTATGACTCCGACGACAAACGAGCCCCGTCGGCCCACCGCCTCCAGAAAGCGCGCGAGGACGGCCAGATCGTCATGTCCCGCGAGGCCATGAGCTTCGTGGCTCTTCTGGGAGGATTTGCGGGAATCTTCATGATCCTGCCCTACCTCGTGACGGATTTTGTCCACAGCATGAAAGCCCTCATGGCCAATGCAGGCACCGTCCCGATGGCACAGGGCGGTTTGCTGAACAGTACGAATCACGCCATTGAAGCGGGCCTGTCCCTGGCCGTACCCCTAGCTGCCACCGTGGCCGCCTTCTGTCTCGGTGCCGGATTTCTGCAAACGGGCTTTCTCATCCACCCCGGCTCATTGCTCCCCAAACTCGAACGGGTCTCTCCCCTCGCCGGCTTTCCAAAGCAATCGCAGGCGGCGGCACACACTGCCGGACACGTTCAAGGCCCTCATGCAAATTCGCAGGATCTTAGCCGTAGTTCTTTGGCCTATCAGTAAAAACACGCCATATCACCGCGCCAACGCATGGTCGGATTGGAACCCGGCCCCTCCGAAAATGAATGACGGATTCGGATTCAGTGCCGCGCCAATCGATGATCGGCACAACTGGTAATCGCGGGCTTCGATCTTTTCTGGATGCGCTTTCGCCATATGTCCAAGCTGAAAATGAGCCGCGAAGACCTCAAGGACGAGTATCGAAATGCGGAAGGCGATCCGCATGTGAAAGGCCGCCAGAAAGCCCTGCGCGCCAAGGCCGCCAGACAACGCATGATGGCCGCCGTCAAGACAGCCACTGTAGTCGTCACCAACCCGACGCACTACGCAGTCGCTCTTGTCTATGAAAAAGGCAAAAAGGTGCGCTCCGAAAATCGTAGCCAAAGGAAGGATGACGTCGCCGCCAGAATCAGGGAAATCGCACAGGACAACCGCGTCCCGATCGTCGCCAATCCGCCTCTGGCCCGTGCCCTCTTCACCCTCCCGCTGGAAAGCGAGATCCCGGCCGAGCACTTCAAGGTTGTCGCGGCCATCATCGCTTATGTGTGGAAACTCAAACGCCCCGCAGGCCTTTCCGCCCCCTTGAGGTAAGCCAGACCCTCGCACAGAGAAAAAATCTTCCACCAAAGCCTGTCTTCCCCTTGGCGTCACAGGGTGCAGACATGATATGCGTCCCAGAAGAACATTTGCGAACACAAGCAGGCGACAGCCATGACTGACATGGCACTTTGCGAGAATGACTGCCCGGTCTATCGTGGTTTCCAAACGCCAGCCCGAACCTATTGCGAGGATTGAATGGACAAGACCAAGGCGCTTGAAGGCGCACTCAGCCAGATTGAGCGTGCTTTCGGCAAGGGCTCGATCATGCGCATGGGCCAGCGGCCAAAAGTGGAAACGAATGTGATTTCCACCGGCTCCATCGGGCTGGATATCGCGCTGGGGATCGGCGGCATGCCCCGGGGCCGCATTGTCGAGATCTATGGCCCGGAAAGCTCGGGCAAGACCACACTTGCCCTGCATGTTCTGGCCGAAGCCCAGAAGAAGGGCGGCACCGTCGCCTTCATCGATGCCGAACATGCGCTCGACCCCGGTTACGCCCGCAAACTCGGCGTCAATATCGACGACCTTCTCCTGAGCCAGCCGGATGCCGGCGAACAGGCTCTGGAAATCGCCGATACGCTCGTCCGTTCCGGCGCCGTGGACGTTCTGGTCGTGGACTCCGTTGCGGCTCTCGTCCCGCGCGCCGAGCTTGAAGGCGACATGGGCGACAGCCATGTTGGTCTGCACGCCCGTCTCATGAGCCAGGCTCTGCGCAAGCTGACGGGAACGGTCTCGCGCTCCAACACGCTCGTGATCTTCCTGAACCAGATCCGTATGAAAATCGGCGTGATGTTCGGCAATCCGGAGACGACCACGGGCGGCAACGCCTGAATTCTACCCCTCCATCCGCCTGAATACGCCGCAGCCGCTCCACAAGGACAAAGGACGAGGTTGCGGCACCAGACCCGCGTCAAGGTCGTCAAGAACAAGATGGCCCCCCCGTTCCGTCAGGTCGAGTTCGACATCATGTATGGCGAAGGCATCAGCAAGATGGGCGAACTGCTCGATCTGGGCGTGAAGGGCAACATCGTCGAGAAATCCGGCGCATGGTTCTCTTTCGACAGCCAGCGGATCGGTCAGGGACGTGAGAACGCCAAGCAGTTCCTGCGTGACCATCCGGAAATGGCCTCCGAAATCGAACGGCGTATCCGTGCCGAAGCCGGTGTTCTCGCCGACGCTCTGATGACGGACCCCGAACCCGACGCAGACGGCGCTTCGGAAGACTGAAACGAAAAAGGGCTCCCGTAACGGAGCCCTTTTTTATTGCCTGCGTCTCTTGCGAAAAGAACCGCTCAGGCCGCAACCCGGTTGCGAACCCGATCCCAGAGCTTCGCACCCTTGATGATCGCGCGTGCAATTGCAGGGGTCGTCGTCGGCCGTAGCAGTCGTGGATCATAGCCGGCAAATCGGCGGTCGTTTTCATCCAGACAGAGCTGCATGAGGTCCGGAACCTTGACGTCCATGGCCGTCATGTCCTTGGCACCCGTCACCGTGAAGTTGTTATCCTGTGTATGTTCTTCGCCGTTTTCGTCGATGGAACGCGCCAGTCCCATCCGCTCGTAAGCCAAGAACAGCCACACCCCGATCACACGCAGCTCAAACCAAGGCCGCTTCCACACCGGCATGGTCGCCCGATGCCAGGCCAGCCAGTTCGCAAACAGCAGGATATGGCGGCATTCTTCCTGCATCACAGGCTCGAACGTCTCGATCAGTTCCTGCGGAAACAGACCGGCCCGCTCGGCGAGGGCAAACAGTCCGAACGCGAAGAAGCTGTCCACACATTCCGAAAAACCC